CTCCTGTATGCTCCCCCCACGGCTGCTGCCTCCTCCTCCCTATCATCTGCAGCAGCGTTGTGGGGGATCTGTCAGCAATTTCTGTCCCCAGTGCTGACAGTCCCCATCCATCACAGACAGGAGAGGAGAGAGAAAGCTGGTTCTGCCCCTCCTCCTCCTGTCCTCTCCTCCTGTGTCTGCTCTGCCCACACTCCCCACCAGCCTTTTGTCTTCTCCCCCTTCTTTCTTTCTCTCTTTTCTCTCCTTTCTTTCTTTCTTTTTCCCTTCTTTCTTTTTTTTCCCCTCCTTCCTTCCTTTTCTTTTTTTGCCCTCTTTCTTTCTTCTTTCCCTCTTTCCTTCTTTCCCTCTTTCCTTTCTTTCCCTCTTTCCTTCTTTCCCTTTCCTTCTTTCCTTCTTTCCCTCTTTCCTTCTTTCCCTCCTTTCTTATATCTTCTTTCCCTCCTTCCTTCTTTCCCTCTTTCCTTCTTTCCCTCCTTTCTGTTATCCTTCTTTCCCTCCTTTCTTTTATCCTTCTTTCCTTCCTTTCTTTTATCCTTCTTTCCCTCCTTTCTTCTATCCCTCTTTCCTTCTTTCCCTCTTTCCCTCCTTTCTTATATCCTTCTTTCCCTCCTTCCTTCTTTCCCTCTTTCCTTCTTTCCCTCCTTTCTTTTATCCTTCTTTCCCTCCTTTCTTTTATCCTTCTTTCCCTCCTTTCTTTTATCCTTCTTTTCCTCCTTTCTTTTATCCTTCTTTCCCTCCTTTCTTCTATCCCCTCTTTCCTTCTTTCCCTCTTTCCTTCTTTCCCTCTTTCCTTCTTTCCCTCCTTTCTTATATCCTTCTTTCCCTCCTTCCTTCTTTCCCTCCTTTCTTTTTTATCTTTATCCTTCATTCCCTCCTTTCTTCTATCCTTCTTTCCCTCCTTTCTTCTTTCCTTCTTTCCCTCCTTTCTCCTTTCCCTCAATCTTTCTTTCCCTCCTTTCTTCCTTCTTTCCCTCATTACCTTTATGCAGAGAGGCAGCTGCCCAGCCAGGAGGAGGAAAGCTGTACAGCTTTCTTCCTCCTGGCGGGGCACCTGCCGCTCTACATTCATCTGGCTGTCAGTTCTATAATCTGCTTTCCACCTTGCATCTTTCACAGGTGAAGAATATGAATAGGTAATTGATGGTTCCATGGTACAGGAAGCCAGTCAATGGAATATAGGCATGAAGATCTAGTTACACGTAGTCTGTCAAAGGAGATCATATCATATGTCCAATGAGGCTTCTGACAAAGTGGCCATTACAGCACACATTATGCAGACATGGCCCACTCTTGTCACTAAGGGTTGAACTGAACAAACCTGGGTTCGGTTTCAGGCTGAATTTGCAGAACATGGCTAAACTTTCCGTAACTCAGATTGGCGGCTATTTTACTAAATCCTGACTGAATGTTTGTTTATTATTGCCATGTGGTTGTATTTTAGTGCTTTGTATTGGCAATTTTAATAATAAAATAATACACTATATACCTATATCTGGCTCAATGGTGTGAGCTCCTTTCCATCCAGGAAATCTGATTGGCAGCCAGAGACTTGAATGCTGAGGAGAGACTGTCTGGTTGCCCATTGAGGGCCCTTTAACACTTTCTGTCATCTCTCAGTATATAACTTACTATACAAGAACCTTCTCCCCACCAAGGAGAAAGGTGATACAAACTGTTAATCAACATTGTGTAGTGAATGTGGCACATGAAAAACAATTGTTTGCAGTTTGGAAAAAAGCAGATCACCGCACATAGTCTGAATGAGCCCCTAACGTTAACTTTAACTTTACATTTAAATTAAACTACCAATTTTCTGAAGCTTTAAAAACAACCTTTAATCATTTTATATATATTTTACAAGTCATTAGGTGTTTTTAAACACAACTAAGTCACTGTGGATGTTGTATGGAGGTAATGAGTAGGACTACTGCAGCTAAAAAATGGGGGAGACTACATTGTAAATAACCGCTACACATATCAATCATTCTAATCCAAGATCTTGTTCAGGGGGCACAAGAAGAAGGGGATCTAATACAGCAATTAAATAACCAACATGTATCAGAACACCTTTAAAAACAATGGTGTTTACCACACAGAATTCTGTCCTCAACGGATGGCGTTGTGAGTAAACTGAGAGTGAACGAATGGTCACATGAACATTTCAAAATACTGGTGACAGGGGAAGGAATCAATCAAGGCCCTCACATCAGCAACCAAGTTACTCCGTGAGGTCACTCATTCATCAAACAAAAAGGACAACTATTCCTCTTACATATATTGATGAAAAAAGGGCCAATGTAGGGTTCAGTTGTTCAAAACATTCACCACATCACTTCATCATTATCTCAGGAGGATGGGCTAAAAGTACCCTTTAATGAAAATGTCAATGGATGACCTTTGTCTACCCAAAATCTACAAGATTCCAAGAACCTCTGCTACAGTCAAAGCAAGCCAGGATGGCTTGTCTTGACTGTGGCACCTGATCCCCTGGACAACCTCTATTGAGATGAAACATATGTTGGGGCTGGGTGGAGATTGTGCTGCCATCACCCATGCCTGTCTGGAGCTGGCACCAGTGGAGTTTCTGACTTACATGCTTATTTGTCTTTGAAGTTCGTAAGTGGCTTTTTATTTATATTAACAAATCATTTATACGTTATCACACTATCTGGAGTACACAGCGGATCAAAATAAGGAAGGAAGAGTGGAGGAGAGACAATGAAGTCTGTGACACCTCTTTTCCATCTAGGATGTTACAAGCAAGATATGTTCAGCATCATGCTCTGTTGGACCACCTATAATCTGAGGTCTAACTATTTGGTAAGGAGCAGTGTGTTTTTTTTTTTTATGGTGGGCACAAGAGTCTATATTTCACTACACACATGGAGAATTACTGTGGACATGACTGTTCATCATAATTGGAATTTGTATTTTTCAGTGTTTGGTGATTCATGTATTTTGACTTAATATTATTTGTTGGAGTACATTTAAAATATAACTGACTCACTATTAGTATATTTTTTGCCAAAAGCACAACAACAACTGGATATCACTTATTGAGTATTTGTATTGGTATTTTTGAGTGCAGCTATTGTTTCACTGTTTCGTTTTGTGGTTCACAATTTGTTTGGATTTTTTTGGCACTCAGCGCAGTTACAGAATTTTCAGATTCCATTGTATGTTCAATTGATGCTATCTTTCCATGATCTCATAAGGGTATTGATCACTTTGGTCAAGTATCCCATATTAACCTCTGCCTTTCAAGACCCAGGCCATTAAATAGAGTTTCTCTAAAGCTGGGTGTAGTATGGGTCTCTGAGACAGAAGAGAGGATCCTGAGAGGATACCATGGTCATTTCAGCCAGTTGGGGGATCTTCTTTTGAAAAGGCCTTTTGAGAAAGGCAAGAGACACTAGAGGCAAAGTTCCCCTTGCTTGATGTCACACTGGGAATGGCAAGAATGGCGGCAGGAGCTGGAACATTTTACATGATCCACCCTAATAAAACGGGTGGAAAATGTTCCAAAAGGTGAACTTAGCCTTTAACAAAGGGTTGTACTATGACAAAATCAAAGCCATCATAATGGCTGTCTTCCTCATCCAAGAATAAATCTTTCAAAGAAGGCAACTCAGAGCTCTTTTGGAACTCACATATAGAGGGAAACTGAACGCTGAGAGACTGAAGCCACCTGTTGAGCTGCAGGTTGTACTTGAGATGCAAAGGATTTCCATATGGCCTGAAAAACCTCTTTCATCATTGACATGCTATCTTGCCCAAGAGTGTCAAATTGTGACAGGCCAAGCATCCTCCCAGGCTGGGTTTGTGGTGATGATAGGTAGTCACAGAGCCATGTGGAGACTAAGCCACAGAGTGTTTGTTCCTGAAGTGACTATAATGGTGGACTTCTCTGGAAGGTGCCTTCCAACTATAGCCAAAAGGACCTCTGTCATCTGAAAGATGAGATGAACAGTGACCTTGAACTTGAAACAATGTAAAAAAAGCAAACATTGCAAAAATAAGAACAAGAAAATAAAAGAATAAAACAATGGAAAAGAATCCTGGCAGTGGTGGATGCAGTACCCTACTTTCTCTGGAAGTGCTGATATTTGGAAGGGGTTGTTATCTTGTTTTGCATGGTTCAAAAGAAATCAATGTATCAGGTGGGACCAAGAAAACATTTACCCATTTAGGGAAAAAAACATAAGTGAAGAGTTTACCTGGCAAAAGGAATAAACTGTTGCAGCAAAGCAGGGGAGAAACACACAGTCACCTCCTAGCAGGGCAGAGTGGAACTGATAGAGCCTGCATTTTAAAACTGAGAGCGGGAAGAAAACAAAGCATCCTGACACCCTTGATTGATTCATAAAGGAGTGCATGTACAAACAGCTTATCGGAACTCCGGCCATGTGATCCATAGTGGACTGCTCAGCCTAACAATTAGTACCGCATGTACACACCATAGGTTACATGTTACCAGAGCCCCTGTACTTTTCCCAGAAGAAGTAAACTGCTGCCATGCCCACAATATCCATGGGGTATACCCAGCTGTATGAACACCCTTTGGATCAGCAGTGTGGCTCAGTGAAACAGATACAGGGACTGCATCCAGTCAAATAAGGAGCAAAGCTTCTGCCAGGTCATAAACCCAGCAAGACAGCATCTGTTCCTATGTGCTTGAATGAAAAGTAAGGAATACCGGGCTGGAAGGGAACTCAAATTTAAAGTTATGATCCTATTAGTGCTAAGGGTGATTGGGGCTTAGCCAGGTGTGTGCTGACATGGAGCTGTCAGGGAAAAATGTTTTGAATATAGAAATATAATACCAATTAGACAGTGGATTACATACTTAATACTTCAAATATAACCATAAAAAGTTAGCAAAGAGCCAAGTTTATTTTTTTTTTTTATTAGTCTGGACATTTTCTTTAACATTCTCTTCAAAGCTGAATGGACGTCTTTATTCTTGAAGCTGTAAATCAGGGGATTTAATATTGGAACACCTGTGGTATTAAACAGGGAAGAAATTTTATTGGAACCCAGTGTAATATATTCAACTGGTCTAAAGTATTGGTAGGACAAGGTGCCATAAAGAAGGATGATAATTGTGAGATGTGAGGAACACGTGTAGAAGACTTTCCACCTCCCGTTACTAGAACGTATTCTCAGAATGCTTCTTATAATGAAAACATATGATATAAAAGTGAGACTAAGTGGAACAAAAGATGCTAGAATCACGCCTTCAATAATCACATAAAGCTGCAAAGCAGAAGTGTCACTGCAGGATAGCTTCATTAATGGTATAAGGTCGCAGAAGAAATGGTTGACTTCCAATGACATGTAACAAGTAATGGATGATACTTTCAAAGCACAAGGTATGATATCTAAAAAACCCAAAACCCAACAGACACTGGCCAGACTACAGCAGACTTTGTGGTTCATAATTACATGGTAATGTAAAGGGTGGCAGACAGCCACATAGCGGTCATAACCCATTGCTGTCAGAATTAGCAGCTCATTACATGTGAATGATAAAAAGAAAAACATTTGCATAATACAACCAGCAAAAGAAACTGATTTATCTCCAGTGATGAATGTAATAAGAGGTTTGTGAAGAGTTATTGTAGAGCAACAGACATCAAGGAGAGACAGATTGGCCAGAAAGAAATACATTGGAGTGTGAAGATGGCGATCCATAGAGATCAATAGAAAAATGGTCATATTACCTCCAAGAATGACGAGATAAATCAGCAGAACCAACAAAAAAATGGGAAGCTGTAATTGTGGGACATCAGAAATCCCTTTAATGATGAAATATGTCATCACTGTTTTGTTGGATTCTTCCATATTATAGAATTGTCCAAAGTGCTAAGTATGAAAAAAATGTCATGTATTTTAATAATGTAATAAATATTTAGAGATAGTCTGCTATGCCATATCAGGTTGACAACTACAGACAAATATACAAATGCCATATAATTCAGTTGTACAATGTATAATTGTTAAAATTATTAACTAGATCTTTAAATACAATTATTGCCAATATTTATATCTATTTCTATATTAGCTTTTGAGCATTCTACAAAAAGTATACCGTAATTCAGACTGAAAGAGGCAGCACAGAGCTGTTGGTCTTAAGCTGGCTATACACTAGTAGAATTTTGTTTAAAATTCTTTGTTTCAAGAACATTTGTTCGATTTTCTAATGATTAAGGGGGTCACATTTGTGTTTGGCTATAGTGACAGGAAATTTGAAGGAACAACTGAGTTTCTAACAGTTATGTGGTTTTCATCTAGGAAATTACATTCATTCCAAAATTGAATGTTAAAAGTAATTGAAATTTTGAAGTACTTTTGGACATCAATCATCGAGTCATAGAATGCACTGAAAATACTCATATGAACAATCATTTGAAAATCTAATAGTGAATTGCCAGCTTAACACTGTGAGCATGCTTTTGTGGCGATTGATGTAATACAACTGGCCAGTGATTTGCAACTTTTTCATTTTCCATTCAGCAGGTAAGGGAAACAGAAATGAACGCATGTATTTCTTTATAGTTATAGAGAAAATTGTACCAATTGTCACTAGGTATGGCAGGTATGTGTCGATCACAAAAATAACTGAACCGATTTGTAAATACAATATTTTGAAAGGACAAATAGCTCACACATGTATTTTATATATTCACAGCAGATCACATGACAATTGTACACAATGGATGGCTTCTATTCAAGCCATTCAATGTGTAATATTGTGTTCCTCGCTGTGATTGGTCAACGTGATCACATGGTTCAGACAGGGCCAATCACCATGTGATTAGCTGTGGCCAATCACAACTAATCACAACCATACACACTGAATGAACCGATTTCATTCAGTAAAAATTACTGTTTATTACAGCAATATTCACTGTTATTAGCAATCAGAATGTGTAAAAAAAAATTCTGATCACCTCCCCAGAGTAGTACAATTTTACTATGGTAACACTGTATTGCTCTGGTCACAGTATGTAAAAAAAAAAATTGTTAAAAAAATTGAAAGAAAATGTAAAAAAACATTGAAAATATTTTTTAAAATATATATTACATTTTTTCTTTACATACTGTCACCAGTCAGTGTCCCAGATCACCGCCACATCATAATACACACCAGGTTATTTTTTACCAAAGAAATGTAGCAGACTACATTTTGGCCTAAATTTATGAAGGGAGACTATTTATTTGCAAAATTTTATAACAGAAACAAAGAAAAACTTGTTTTTCTTTTTAAACTTTCAGTCTTTTATTGTTTATTTAGCAAAAAAATTAAAAACCCAGTGGTGATTAAATACCTCCAAAAGAAAGCTTTATTAGTGCACAAAATGATAAAAATGTAATTTGGGTACAGTGTTGCATGACCGTGCAATTGTCATTCAAAGTGCGACAGTGCTGATAGCTGAACATTGGCCTGGACAGAAAGGAGGTGAAAGTGCTTGGTATTGAATTGTCTGCCCAGGTGTTCAACGTAAGATATATACCAAAAAAGTACTCACTAAGTGAATCTCAATGGGCCCCAAACAGCTTCTACCCTCTTCTGCTGCTAGCAGGGCCTCTTCTCTGTGGTAATGATACTTTAATACAGTACAACCATCACTTGGGATGTCATCTTGCTTTTAATGACTTGTTTGTTCACATAATTGTACCTGTACCTGCTGCTGTTCAGTCGAGATGCTTACCTCCGTGTGCCTCCTAATGAAGTGAATCTGTTGGCCTTGGAAATGTGTTGAGAAATCCCCACAATAATCAAGATGGGTTTTGGAAAATGTTTGTTGCATCTAAGTTATGAGAAAAAAATATTGTGATATTTGAAGTGTGTAAGCTTAGTGGTAAATGCATTTTCTAATGCAAAGTCCAAAGTACAGTTTAAGGGCTTTCTGACCCACTTTTCTTAAAAGGAAAAGGAAAGTTTGACACCTCAGTTTCCCACTCAGGGGATTTCAGTTTCACACAGCAAAATGCAATGCTGCTCTTGTCTCTGGTCTTTCAAACCTGGCACTCTGGAATTTTCTGGCTCAGTCAACCTTTATTTACAGTCTCCAGCTGTACGGGCCCACTTTTGGCCTTTCAAAAGGGGTTTCCTGATGCCCCAAGCTCATTCATGCTCCTGAGACTTACGGACTCTCACCACTCCCATGGACTAGCTAGATGTCCCAGCTCTCTCATTCCTGAAGACTCACTCAGCTGTCCGAACTCTCCCAGTCCTATGGGTAAGGAAACTCTCCCACATTAAGTTCTGTCTCCTGAGCGGAGCAGCTCTGTTTCCTGGCAGGGACACATATCCCTCCTGACTGGAGCACACAGCTATTTCCTGACAGGGCCCCTAAACTATGCCTTGCTCATAATGAGAATGTACACCTGTACACTCACACAGACAAGGGGGCCCAAGAGCTGTGTGAAGAGGAGGAATCATCCAGGGTCTGAGGAGGTACACCAAAGAGTTTTTTTTTTGTGTTCTTAAATGAGAGACTGTTGCTACCCACATTTTTTGTACATAGTTGCTTAGAAGTTTGTCCTAGGTTTCTGCAGTTCCTCGGGCATCCCATATTCCACTAGAATCCATCCAAGTTATAAACCCCTTAATAAAAATCACAAAACCAAGCTCAAGGATTGTTAATGACTCCTGTGTGCAAAGCGTGGAAGAAAATGTGTGTTGCCTGGCTGTGCAGAGCTTTAGGGGGATCCAAAACTCAGTGACTCCTAAGGGGGTAGTGCTACATCTACTTCACTGCAACAAGGTAACAAGAGACATTATTCAGAGAAAAGATATAGAGTTTACCATAGATAATTTTTTGGGGGGTGCTGTGCTGTTGCTGGAAGTGCGAGTTGGGGTGCCTACAATGTACTTGTGGGCATGGCCAAAAGTGGTTGTGGTCCAAATGCAGGTGTAGCCAGAAAGTGGACATTTCTACATGGCTTGTAGTGTGACACTTTTTTCCTTTTGTAAAGACCAATTAAGACTTGGGGTGAACCAAAAAGACTATGGGAATAAAAAAAGCCCAGTTGCAGCCAGAAATCATAACCCCCATCACAGCAACATTATTAAATCTCAGCACACCACAATAATTATCCAAGGTAAAACAGTACAGTAATTAAGCAGGGCATATTTCATTACTTAAAAGTAGAACTATAGACAAAACGTATTTTTTCATATTGGATAGAGAAAGGGAGTGTTATAACCCCTGTCAGATTTTTTTTCACTATCTGTGAGATTTCCCTTCACTTCCTACCCCAAAGCCAAACAGGAAGTGGGAGGAGATCCATGCAAATTAAGGGAATCCCTTGGAGACCTCCAGATCACCAGAAGTAGTGTACCCATTGGAAGATTTCCCCACTATTACTTTTTGGGGGACAACACACAATTTGGGATTTTCTTTACTTTCACTTTTAATGATAACGGTAACCAGGACAAGTAGACTGGGTGAATCTCCTTATTGGGGGCACAGACAGCAATAAACACTGACAGGGTTCATCTCCACATAGAGTGCATCTCCACTCTATCAAAAACTAAAAAACATTTTGCCTTTAGTTATACTTTAACCCTCAGCACAATACAGTAACTAACCCCAAACATTGCACAACAATTAACCCCCAGCACAGCACAATTAACACCCAATGCTGCACATTAATTAACCTCCAACATTGCACAATAATTAACCATCAGTACATCACAATTAAACCCCATCACAACACAGTAACAAACCCAAAGCATGACACAATAATAAATCCCGAGCACAACACAGTAGTTAACCTCCAGCGCCACACATTAATTAACCCCCAACATTGCACAGTATTAAACACCCAGCAGTATAGAAATCATTGCGACCCCCCTCATTGTGCAACATATAACATAGCATATAGAGTGAAGCTGTCAGCACTACATAGTGTATAGAGTGTGGAGTTCAAGACTACATACAACATTAGTTTTTCAGCATATCCTCTTACATTTGTGGTCAGTGTGCATCTGCACAGTAGTAGCAGTGTGCCTCCTGTACAATGGTGAGCAGCATGTCGTCTGTAAACAGGTAGCCAGTGGCCATGCATACTGGTGGTCAGAGAGTCCCTATTTACTGGTGGTCAGTTCTCTTGTATACAGGTGATCAGGGCTTTTTTTTTTCTCAAAAATTAGGTGCAGGATATCAACCATGTCTCCTCCACAGTACAAATGACCCCCTCTCCCCGAAGTAGGAAAGCATGCCACATCAAATGGTGGGTTTAGCCAAACTGCACTAACAGTGAGAGAATCTTAAAAGGGCATTGTTAAATACCAAGAGTACATTATGTGCAGGGTTCAGGAGTGCACTACTTAGAGTGCAGGGTTCAGTAGTGTGCTGCATACAGAATGCAGGGTTCAGGAGTGTGCTATGTACAGAATTCAGGGTTCAGCAATGTGTTATGCACAATGTTCTAAATTCACGAATATGCTATCTACAGAGTGAAGGGTTCAAGAGTGTGCTTTGTATAAAGTGCATAGTTCAGGGTTCGCTATATGCAGGGTTTAGGGGTGCACTATGTACAGAGTGCAGGGTTTAGGGGTGCACTGTGTACAGAGTGCAGAGACCAGGAGTGTGCTGCATACAGAATGCAGAATTCACGAGTGTGTGTTACATATAGAATGAAGGTTTTAGGAGTGTGCTGTGTACAGAATGAAGGGTTCATGAGTGCGTTACACACAAGGTGCAGAGTTTAGGAGTGTATTATGCACAGAATACAGAGTTCAGTGGTGGTGTGTTACATAAAGGATGCAAAGTTCAGGAATGTGTTACATACAGAATCCAGAATTC